CAGCACAATTTGCTGGGGTTCAGGAATCAATGTGAGGTTTTGGATTCTCTGGGGATTGTTCTCGTATCAGCATGCACAGTATGTCTGGAATCAACAGAAAAAGCAACTGCCTACTCTTTTGACATGTTTTTGGAGGCCCTTCACTGCACTAGGAAGTTGGTGTTTAGGTCCTAATTTTGGGGCTGAAGGCAGACTTTTGGTTGGGTAACTCATGTAGCTCGGCCCACTACAGCAGAACAAGAATGTTGAGAAAGTCTGACTTTCAGATCTTTGAACAAACAGAATCAGCTGCTTTTTCAGTGTTTAGATTTTCAGTCTCTGGCAGATTCAGCCACAGGAGATACATGTTACTACTGACTGTTTTGTTCACTCATCTCCAGGGGTTCCTGCTTCTACCACAGCGGTGGAAGAACTGGAAAGGAGCTGCTTAGTTCGAGGAGCTCACGCTCTGTTTTAATTAGTCAAGGTATGTACTGTAGAAGAAACATGCTTTCAAATAAAGGGATGCCTGCAGCCTAGACTCTAAAATACTTTGTTCCATAGCATGATATCTTAGTTCTGGCAAATTTTCCATACATGCTTCTTTAGTATGTTTTATTACTATCTCTATGTGACCGTAGAAGTAATAAGCAATTATAGCTTTTGTTTTTTTGAGAATTTGGAAAAGAAACTCTCTGGCCATGCTCTGTCAAATTTTATATTGCAGCAATTCCAGAGGAAGAGGACATGCTCCTGAGTGATTAAATTGCTGAATGACAGGAGTCTTAGTAATATGGATGAAGACTGTCTTATGTATGGCTGCATAAGGGGGTGTAATGTTCTTGAAAATATTATGCTTTTATTTTTGTATGCTGTGGCAAGTCATTTATGCAAAAAAGGCATAAAAGACCTTTTACTGTACAGTTATAATTGCTCATGTGTATAGATACAGTAAGGGAAGTATGTGAAGACCAAGCTGTCACCAACAGAGACCCAGTGTTACGTGAAAATCTGGACTGTACCAAATCCCATGGCAGTGATACCAGTTTTTCTGCATATATAATCTTCTTCTAATATATCTGCCAGCTAGGCAGGATGCGATAAATACAATTATAGCTTGTTCTATCCTGGTGGGTCAGCTTAGCTTGATTTGTCATCCTCTGCATAGATGTACAAAGGAAGTCCTGGGTGACATCCAAGTGTGACATCTCTGTATACAGCTTACATGGACAAAGATTTCAATCCAGGTGCTCCAGTATGTTTAAGACATCAAACAGATTACGTGCATCCAATGAATAATATGCATGCATGTATGTAATTGTTTGATCTGTGTATCATGAAGAAATATATGTGGATACCTCTTTGAATCAGATATGCATGCATGCATCCAGATATTCATGATATATCTAAATATGGTGATAATTTTGTTGAGAGAAGCCCTCACTCATTTGGCAGTGTCTGAAGAGCAGCAGTATAGTATGTTAAGTATGTAAGAAAGTGAAAGCACAACTTCTTTGGAGATAAATTGAATCTTCCACCAAAAAAAGTAGTGCCCAGACCTTCCAGGAGTTTAGTAAAGGATTGCTCTTATTCTGTGGAGGGAAGGTTAAAGTGAGGGACACCAGATAATGTGAAAGCATGAATCATGGTATCAGTTCTCTAAGTCTTTACATCAGATGGGGTTGTGAATAATAAGCTATTCTACTGAGCTGGATAGACTTACTGCTTTGTGTTATTTAGAACTAGGAGCTATATTACTCTGGAGAAAACAACAATGTAGATATGTCTTGCAGAGCAAGGCCTCACAGGGTGAATGCCTAAACCCATGTGCAAGCCTTTGAGCAGTAAACTGGCAGCTAGAGTTTTGGGTGCTCATAACTGAGCTGTGAAGACAATACACCTTTTAGGAGATGGTGGGCATGTGCTTGTCTCTTTTAACATGAGTGCTTGTATTAATCTGAACTAAGCCTCAGGTTTACAACATTGCATTTAATGTTTCCGAGGGATATAATTTCAACGCAGAAGTGAATTTCCTCTAAATAAGTTCACATTTCCATCAAAAAATCTTCAGAGAGAAAACTTGAATGTATGGCTCCTTTCTTGTGTCCAAACAAAAACCCAACTGCATGAAACAATCTTCACAGTATGTAACAAGTTGCAACATGTTTTTTTCTGTCATTTTGATATATGCAAAATATAGAGAAATATTAATACCAGATCACAGATAGAAAGCACAAGTATTGTATTTAACTGATTTATGCATTGTAATGCACGAAATGAGCTGCCAAGCCAGGATTAGAACCAAGGACCGTTTTGACTTCCATTTCTATGAGTTTGCATACCTCTCCATACTGTACTTTTTTTCTGCTTTTTAAAAAAATGTATTTTTTATCTAATATCAGTCCTACTGGCAAAAGATCAATCTTCACTTTTTACTATTTTATTTGATATACAACCACATCTGATTATTGCTAGGGTTGATGTTAACATACATAGCAGTGTGGCATTCACAGAGCTGGTGGTCAGTAGTCCTGGTCTAAATTGCTTAATAATTTGCTTAAAAATCTAATTGTCTTAAATATATTTTTTTCAGGGTTATTCTGAAGATTAGTGAAAGCTACAGGCTTGAGATTTTTCTAAAGTGTATGAGATCTGGGTGTACGGTGTTGATTCACATTATAGGGATAAGCTCCAAAGCAGAGGTCTCTATTGAGGATCTCTAATCCTCAATAGAGGATAAATCCTCAATAGATCCTCTAATAGAGGATCTCTATTGTTTTTGCCAACATTTTGATATGGGCTACTGAAAAATGTTTTTTTCTATTGTTAGGAAGCTCTGTACGTTCATGCTGATAAAATACGGCATATACATGTGGCCAGTACTTTTATGACTACAAATCTCTGATCTGTAAGGCATGACTAACACCTCAGCTATGGCTCCAGAGTCTTAATTTGCTTCTGAAATCAGTTCCACTCTGCTGCCATGGGGATAAACTGAGTTCTCCTCTCTGAAATGCTAATAACCCCCTGGACTCTGGCAAGTTTGTGCTCATCCATGTGGAGCCAATTACAGGGAGGTGAAAACAAAGGTAAATAAAACTTAGCCATATAAAAGCAATCATGAATATAATACATTTTCTCTGTGCATAGGTCCTAATATATGGGACATATGCTCTAAGTAAGTATTGAAAATAGTACTTAAAAATGCAGAGCCTGCATTTCTTTTTCTGAAAAGCACATTCCCTTATTTTTCATGTGGTTCTTTTTGGATAAGGCTATTGTGGGTGTGATAAACACATGGAAAGCAAGTTTGGTGAGAGCTTGGTCCAGCTTTTAGCTTATTGAGTGCAATCATGTATTTGTCTTACTAGATGGTCTAGTATTTGCAGCCTGCTATTCCATCTTTGCTACTGATAAAGGAACAGTTTCATGGTAGCGCTGCATAATCAGCAGCTTGGTAAACTGGATTTCTAGAAGGCCCGCCCTGCCTCTTGCTACTTGGCGGGCAGATTGATTATTGAGAAATCTGAGGCAGAGGACTCTGTTCTTTGTAAGGGCTGATCACGTTGCTTTTCGAGCATATATGATACTGCTTTTTGTGTACTGGTTATCTAGTGGTAAATAAAGAAGTAGGTAAGACTGTCTGCCCAGTGCTCTTGGCTGGACAGTGAGAAGAGGGCAAACTTTCTATTGCCCAAGTTATAAGCTGTTAAACATCCCCTACTTGTGTTGAACCCTGCATTTACCACTCTATGTACTTCTGTCCCATGCCTAATTGGAAAATGAGATCAAGACAGGCATACAAAAACATATATGGATGTTGTTTTAAAAAAACAGACTGTAAGTGGTTACTTCTAGGTAAGAGCCTTTGAGAGTTCTAATTAAAACATAAAATTTGTGATTCCTTAACCTCTGTTCAAACTATTGGACATTTATCTCTTTGACATTTGAATTGGAACAAGGACACTATGCACATATAATGTTAAAAAAACCCCACATAACATTTTAAAAGAGGAAAAATGAGGCCAGGAGACTTATTTATACTTGTGACCCAATTAGTGATATGAGCTGTCACCCCATATAAAGAATATGTTCACAACTACAAAGAAACACAATTCAGTCACGCAAAGAATATATTTCCTCAAATCACTCTTCAGGGTGGCTGGACACTGAGCAGATACTAAGGAGAATGCTTGGTAAATAATTTTCAGATTAGTTAAGAACTAATAAATACTTAAAGCTCCTATGAATAGCTTTTAAATCTAGTTTTTTTCATAGTTGTTTGACATAAATACTACTGCTGTGTACTTGTCTCTCTCTTGCAATAGGTGTGAAGGATAAGTGGTAAGTGCCAGTAACCCTCTGAGACTACATTCCTTCATTAATCTATGCTACAGTGTTCATGATTTATCCATAACTCTTCATTATATTGGACTCCACCACAGTCCACAATCTTAACAAGTCCATCCTCCCAAAGTAAGAAAACGGATTTCACCTTAAAAATGGCTTGTGGTTGTTCTGTCAACAAACCCTTTTACAATGTTCATGCAAACATTCAGCTACCATCAGTACTCCTTGTGATTATGGTAGCATTTCTCCTGAAGCATAATTTAATAGACATTAAGTTTCCTGCATGCGCTCATAAAAAGATTTGGTTAAATTCGCTGTTTTAACAAAGCTTAGGTTTATTTTATACAGAGACTCACTCAAATATCATAGATATTATTGGATGACCTTGCAGAGGTCGTCTTAAGACTTGAGTTTATTAGTGTACAGTGCTATACACATTCAAAGCCTTTCTTCTGTGTAATAGATAAGGAAAAAGAGAACACCCTCCTGTCCTCTTTTACAGTAGTGCAGCCAGTAACACTAGTGAAATTTTAATTTCTGCATGCATTGTCTTCTCATATTAAGCTTCCTCTTCAGAGTATTTTTACTGCTCTGTTTGTCCCAGGGCCCTGCTGTGTTGCTCCCCCCCAGCACTGAGTACATACACGACACTCAAACACATTGATATTTACCTTATAAACACTGATCCGACACTCTCTGTAGGGCTGACTGGGGTGCCATTACTTGATTTTCGGAAGCTGTTCTGACTTTCAAAATTAAAAACTGAGTCCTCTAAAGAATTCCTTTTTCTCATTGTTTTAATGGAGTTAACTGCAGAGTTAGCGAAGTTCAGTTCCCGAGTGATCCTTCAGTTGCACAGCCTTTCACTGCTCTAGGAAGTGTGGGCTTAATATGACTCCAGCTCAGGCTGGTTTTTCAAATCAGTTAATGAGTAACATTGACGTGACATCATAAGGTGGTTTTCTTTTTTATCTGCAGCACTTTGTAGGTTTACTTGGAAATGAAAATAAGGAAATCAAGGTGCACTGTGTCTTTGGAGTGTCATTGGTAATAGCAATAACTCGTTTTGATGAATTAAGAAAATGAAGGAATGTAAAACAAGAACTCTAATTCAAATGATGTTTTGTTGCAGGTTTGTACCAAAACCTGTGACATGTTCTGCCATAAATTCTACTTTGTGAATTGTCTACATGCCATTCATTAAATAATACAACTTACCTTTCAAAAGTGACTTTATCCACCCATCCTGACATGTCAAAATGACTACATTGCACTTCTCCAATGACAAACTGGTGCATATCCGTGCATGTAGCTGCTGTAAGTCAAGTAATTTAAGCTTAAGTATAGGTAATCTTTTCTCTCTCAATGTACCAAAGCCCAGCTGGACAAAACCAATTTGCCTAACCATTTTTTCCATAGGAATTGGCAAACATTAACTACAAACTTACACAGTTTTCTGTTTGCTAAAGATTACTATAATAATTACATTAGTCTAAAAAACGATAAATGATGTTTCTTTAGATTTCCAGTCCTCTTACAGTACTTAATTATCACCCTAAGGTCTCCAGAAATTCTGTTAAACTTAATTTAGGGCCTGCATGGTAATAAAGTTTTGTCTATGAGACTGAACAAACTTGTGGAATGTAGTGCTCTCTCTATTCTTAGCTTCTATAAATAGATTGTGAAACAATACAAATGCATTTTGGACTGTTCCCAGGTTTTACTTGTAAGCTCAAAGACATCCAGTCAAACTATGATGCCTTTCTTAATATGTTGTGGTTTTGTTTGTTTCTTCCTTGGTTTCTGATTTATTTGAATGACTATATACCTGGTCTTTGCTTTTTTTTAATATAAAATTTATGTTGTGATTAGTATTTAGCAAACTGTACTGAAATCTGTAGCTGTAAAAATAGAGGATTAACATAGTACCTAGGAAGAAAAAATAGAGACAAATCAGCAATTTATTTGGAATTGGAAATTCCAAATAAGTTTGGGAAGTCCTGAAAGAAAATGGCAGAAAGGGAATGAAATATACACTTTGACATCTTAGATATGCACTGTGAAGTGGAAAAAATTGAACACTTTTATTTAGGAGGAGTATTTAAGCTGCTTGGAAATAATTGAGTTGGACTTGTATTTACCTGAGTTAAATATCCTTCAGTAGCTATGCTACACATCTTTGCTTTTTTGGTATCTTGGCCTTTTTATTACTCTTGATTCTGTTTGATCCTGTGTGATCATAGAATAGAAACACAGGGCTGTGTAGCTAGGTACACTCTCTGTACTTTATTCCTGCTCCATGAAACAAGTGATAGAACCATCAACAAATACAGTAAGCAGAAGTTACTTTCTGTACTCACAAGGAGAATGGGCCTTGGCTCTGTTGTGTTGCTCATGTCTATCCACTTAGGATTGTATGTCTTCACTCTTTTTAAAGGAACAAACAACCTTAAAACTGATTAGGAAACTTAAGTGACATGGCAAGCTCGTAAATCATTAATATGAAATATTTATCTTTGAAAACGATCTATTTGTACAGTAAAATGTAATGAAAACCCACCATGAAAAGTCAGAGTGGCAACTATGTACCTTCTGTAAGGTAAAGAGCAAGTACAGAGAGAGGGCAGTTTAATTCCTCCCTGAATGGGTAATTGCAGGAACTTTTTTAGCAGGGAGCAACCATAACATGATTCCTTCCTTCAAGTTTATGCATCTTTGCTGTTGTCCACAAAATAGTTAATTTCTCTTACAGAGTGCTGTGCCTCCCTCTAAATCATGTACTACTGTATGGTAAGTCTGTGCTTTTCAGCCTGCAAATACATGACCACTTCACATACCTGTGCTGAAAGACTTCTAGGCTTCCCATGCTACTGCTATACTAACCTGGTCACGTACTTAGCTGGTGAGTTAAATTCTCCTGTGGCTACACATCTGGTATTACTGAGCTAGTTTAGGATTAGCTGAGGCCTGACTACATAGAAGCATAGAATCAATTAGGTGGGAAAAGACCTTTAAGATGGTCAAACCCAACTGTAAACCTAACACTGTCAAGTCCACCACATGAGCATCGGTGCAGTGACACTGGTGTTTCTGTATGACCATTTGAAGCAAAACAGGCTTGTGTGAGAGTGCCCTGAGCCTCTTACTGTTGCTGCTTATTTAGAGACCTTACCTTTCTTGAGTGCTGCAGCTGTAACTGACCAGATTGATGGAAGGAAGAGGAGCAGGCCTGATGGGTGCATTTGTGGAGGAAGCAGAGAGGTTCAGTGGTTGTAGTGATGGCATTATATGCTCAAGGGATGCATCTTTCCTATCCATATTATCAGGCTCAGACAAGCTGTTTTTTAGCTATTGATTTTTAGTTCCCCTGCACAACTGTGATCTTGAGATGTTTTGGAAATAGTTTTGGCGCAGGAAAAGGAGATGGTAGTTTGCACAGTTAGGAGCCCAAGAGGGCTGATTTGATAATGCCTTTATAAAAGATCAGACTTCATTTCATGCTGTTCTAATTGGAAGGGGATCTAAACTGTATGATCTACTTTGGGATTGCCTCATTTTGATACAAGCATATGCAAAAGTTTATAATCACCACGCAAATTTTTAAAGCAATCAATCAGTCCCTGACTCTCTGATTCCTGGTATCCATAAAATTCTCCAGGGAAGCTTTAGATACCACAATTTGAACTATAGAGGCGTGTGGCAGATAAGTACTTATTTTTCTTAGCTGTTTGCTTCAGATCTCTTAGCGGTAGTTAACAGACACCAATATCTAGTCTCTCTCTGATGCAATGGATCAGGTGTGGGGCGAAGTTGATACACCTGATGGTGTGGCTATCTGCTGTACAAGAACTTCTCCCCAGAGAATTGTTCTTCATGTTCTGAAGAAATAGCTGGCTCACTGGCTTGTAAGCTTGAATACATTTTTTGACTGTCTCTTGCTGTGTCATATAATGAAAACAGTTTTTCCTCTTTGTTTCTTGTTTCTCTTCCTGTAATCTACTATTCTTCAACTCCATATGCATATTAGGCCAAGTGTAGTCTTATTTTTCTCAATTGCCAAACTATGCCCTTTAATTCTGACCTTTGTCACTGACACTCTGTTATCACTTACCTGCTAGACTATTACCTTGTGGAGTCTAGCACTGTTGCAATTATTTCTGATAGGCTACCGAAGGGGGAAAAAAAAAAAAAAAGTTGTTGGTGTTCTTGAACCTCATACAATTATGTTCTTAATCTGCAGTGGCTGTCACTGGAATGCTAGAATTTGTCCTGAAAATTTGTAATTTGCTTTTCTTCTGTTATCCTCATGACTGCTGTGAATTTTTTTAACGTGAGTTACTCCAGGAAAAGTTTATTTTTGCTTTCTCAGTTCCTGAAGTGTTTCTTATGAAAGAGATGCTGGGAACTATATTAGTGCTGCCAATTGTGGTGCACCTATTTTAAGTCCCTGTGTCTTTATGAAATTATTTTATGTCATCAGATAGGAAGAAAAGTGATGAATTACAGATACTCAGAGTGACAGCTTTCACTTATCTTAGGAAAGCCTTTGTGTCTTTTGATAGGTAACTGCTAAGAAACTGCATAAGGCTTACAAATTGAAGTTATGATAAAGGGAGATGTAGTTAAACAAAAAAAGGTGAAGAGATGGCTGGAAATATATTCTGAACAAACATTCAGTTTTATTAGCATTCAAGAATTAACCAATTCAACAAAAAATTAGCTGTTGTACCTGTGGCAGGATGTCATACTGAGATGGTAGTGAATGTTTTTGTGTACAGTCTTGGATTTTACAAGTTGGCTGAAGTGCTACCACAAGACCTTATAGATTTTACAATAAAGAGTAGGGGAATAGATGAGTGGGTGTTTCATTAGTGTGTTCTGAGTTTCAGAATTTACAGGTCTGTAAATGGGAGTAAGAATGTGCATAGTCTGTTATGAACCTTAGAATAATTGGGGCTGGGGGTATGGGGCTGAGGGAAGCAACATTTAACCTAGTAGCCTAAGGCTCAGAGTTCTTGCTTTATAGGTTTCCATAATTTTTGTTTTCTGTGGTATATTAAGAAGCAGCTGCTCTGATTCAGAGCAGTGTCCTTCATGGTTAGGAATGCCTCCAGTTTTTGTTTTCTTTTTTGCTGCCTCTACCAAATTAGTAGTTCTTTCTTAGAATTATATGTTTGAAGAGTGTGCCTTTCCACAGATAAATCCAGAATGAAATACAGTTCAGATCTAGTTAGCTGTACAATTTTTATGGACATTTTTAGGTAAGTTTTATATTTAGGTTCCCATGTTCTGTGCCTCTTTCTAATCTTGGATTCCTTGGTTTTCCTTTGAACTTGTGTTTGATCTGTTCCACTCTATGCTTAATCTGCACCAGTGAGATACCCTCAGTTTGTATGCTATGAGTTTTGAGCTGTGCCTTTTTCTGCTTAGTTTTACACCAGTACTTTGTTGAATATGTGAGATGCTACAGGCAGATACCTAAGGACTGCTGTGGCTTCTCCTGTGCTGCTCTGAATGCTGTATGAAACAAGTACTGGTAGAATCACAAACACATTTATGGAGCAAGGAGGCAAAAAAGTTAAACTGCTCTGGTGCAGTGAGATAGGTAGATGAAAATATAGCATAGAAGAATGACACCTAGAGGTATACAGGAATTAACTGAATGGTGTTTTGTCCATACTTGTGAAAGCTAGCAACTGTTTTTCTCTTCAGTATTCTTGTACGAAAGTGTCCTTAAAATTATGTCCTTTTTGCTCTGTGGTGTGGTGTTCTCCTCAGTAGATGCTTACTCCAGTCTATGGAATGCTCACTTTCCTGCCCTGGAGCTCCCTTATGCTCAGCTTCTGGAGCCACTTATGTGAGACTTAGCCACTTGGAGTATCTGGGCTTACCTGTGCTGAGGAGTCTTCTAGTCAGGAATGAGTTCTTTAAAAAACAAACCCACACCTAGTGAACTTAGAAGAAAGCCACTGGAGTGGAAAAGAAAGTCTAGTGTGGTGGGGGTTATGAAAGGCAGCTCTAACTTGGAAGGTTCTTTTAACAGTAGAAAACCCTAAAGTCTATAAAAATTTAGTGTACATACTGCTTTAGTGCTTGAGCACCAGAGGCTGATAAAGAAATATAAACTGTCTTAGTTTGTTACGTTCTGTGAGTGAGAGATTTGGGTTTGTTAATAGCAACAAAAAAATACATCTTCTTGTTAACTGGAGGACTCCTGCTATTAATAATGACTGTCCTGAGTGGCTTGGGTGAGAATGAGAGTGTAGACTCTGTGGCAGTAAACAAAAGAATGTAGGCATGGGACGCAAATAGTCCACCAGCATCTGTTTTTTGCAGGGTGCTAATTTTTTTGAGCAAATGGCCCATTCTTTGCCTTATCAATGTTTGCAGAATATAGTTAAAAAAGGTAAAATACTTCAGCTTTGTAAATGGTTGTATTTCTCATTTTTGAAGTCACTGAGGCTTGCAGTACTCAGTCCAAGTGATATAAAATGTGAAAAACAAATTAACAAACCCAACAACATCCTATTTACGTATTTGAATTTGATGAGTTTGGAGCCCCCAACACAAGAAGAAGTGTGTTGGAGGGTGTCCAGAGGAGGACAATGAAAATGATCCAAGGGCTGGAGCACCTCTCTTATGAAGACAGGCTGAGGGAGTTGGGGTTGTTCAGTCTAAAGAAGACTCCGGGGGGAACTCATAGTATCCTTCTGGAACCTGAAAGGAGCCTATAAGAACGCTGGGGAAGACCTGATCATTAGGGCATGTAAAGGGCAATGGTTTTAAGCTAAAAGAGAGTAGATTTAGGTTGGAGACTAGGAAAGTTCTTTAACGTGAGGGTGGTGGATCACTGGAACAGGTTGCCTACGGAAGTGGTGGGGGTCCCATTCCTGGAGATACTCAGAATCAGGCTTGATGGGGCTCTGAGGAATCTTGTAGTGTGAGATATCCCTTCTTATTGTAAAGAGGTTTGCCTAGATGACCTTTAGAGGTCCATTTCAACCCAAGACACTCTATGATTCTGTTTTCAGACTTCTCTGTGGTAACAATCAGGACTACATCCAGGCCTGGAGTGAAATGTTGCTAAGAATGAGAAATGGCAATATCTTACCAAGGTGGTTTCTGGTGACCTGAAAGGAAAGCAACTGTAAGTAAGCAGCACTGTGAAATTTCTGTTGAAAATTTCTGTTTACCCATAGTATTGCTACCTCAAGAGTGAGCTGATGCTAGCCGCCTTCTTCTCTGTAGATCTTTACTTCATCAAACACTTCACTTGATAAATGAGGCACTGGTCTGCATCGTGTAAAATACTGTTGCTGATTGTGTAGTCATACCTCCTCTCAAGGTCTGCATGGCCAAAGGCATTAGTGAACAAAGCAGAAAATTCCATGGATATTTAGCTGGTGTAACAGTACCAGGGAGATGCATGAGACAGTAATAATTTTGGTGATATTACAGTGGGTAATACAGTTGTCAGTAAACCAACATGGCAGTAATAGGCATAAAATTCCAACAAGGCCAGCTGTAATATGTCAGTGTATCAAATCATTAAAATGGGAAGGGCATTTGAGACTTTATAGAAAACTGAGGAGAACAGAATCTTCATCAGGCTTACCAGATCACTCTTAGACAGCTATGCACTTTCAACAGTGAACTAATTTCTAGGTAGGAAACATGGAGAAAAACTCACTTAATAGAAACTTGCCTACACTAACCAATAACAACAGCCTGAACAAATAATGGACTTGGTTACTCTGGCTTCCTCAGGAATTTATTAGACTAGCCCATGAATAAAGTAAATGGATACAGGAAATTTACACACTTCAAACCTATTTTTTTGCTCTTTGTAAAAGAAGTGTCAACTTAGTGCTCTGATGCAGATCAGAATATGGGCCCAGCTGTTCATACGCTTCCTACCTCTTGCCGTATTTTTTTTTTGGTGTTTAACACAAACAGTAAGAGGAAGAGTTGGAAAGACAAGTTTAATCTTTAAAGTGATTGCACAGTAGAGCGCTTCCTGAGAGAGAAATGAAAAGACTTTTAAAAAAGATTTTTTTCCTTTTGAGTGTCTTTTTAGAGATAAATATCTATCTATGCATATGCAAACATCTGTTTTAATCCGTCTTTCTCTGTGCAGCTGTGCTAAAATGAAAACTTTTTTTTTTGCCCAGGTATGGCAATTAGAAGGAACCTTGTTAAGGCAAAAGGGGAACTAAGATTTAGGTGTGACTCTCTTCTCTTGAAGATTTTGTTATATTTAGCTGTGTACACATTTTAAGTTACATAAGCCTTGCATCTTTCCTTCTTGAAAGTCAAAGAAAAACAGAAATTACATTGTTCAGAAGCAAACTGTTTCAGAAGCAAATTTCCTGTTGGCAATCTGAGTTTTTATTTGTTTTGTTTTGTTTTGGTTTTCCCTTGGTTTGTTTAACTTCTTTTATTCCATGACACTCTTAGGTGTTATGCATGAGTAGCTGAATATACTTGTCCTGCCTGGAGTATTAGCTGCTGCATTTGCTGAGTCAACTGACTCTATCTGCCCCTCCGTCACCAGGAGCACTATTGGAATAAGATGGGTTAGCTCTTGTGGCTGTGCACTTGTGAAAGCGGAGACTGTCCAGGCCTCAAGAGCTGCTTCTTTTCTAATGTGAAAGGAGACAGTGAAATACCTGAACAGATGATGTCAATGGAGGCTGCTGCTGAAAAACACGGGTTGTATGAACTGGATTAAGGAAAATCTGTGCCCTCTCTAGAACAGGAAACCTGGTCTTGCAGGACATGGAGAAGGCAGGGGTGCTCAATGACAGTAATTTTTTTTTTGGCTCAGTCGTCACTGGCAAGGGCTCTGGCCAAACCACCCAAATTACAGAAGGCAAAGGCAGGGACTAGGAGAATGAAATTTCCCCCATGGGTGGAGAAGAGCAGGTTCAAGACCATTTTAAGGACCTGAAACTGCACAAGTCCATGGGATCTGATGAGATCCATCTGCAGCTCCTGGGTCAACTGGCAGCTGAAGTTGCAAAGACACTTTCCATCATATTTGAGAAGTCATGGCAGTCTGGTGAAGTCCCCACTGACTGTAAAAGCAGAAACAACCTCAGTTTTCAAAATCGGAAAAAAGGAAGACCTAGATAACTACAGGCCATTCAGTCTCACCTCTGTGTCCAATGAGATCATGGAGCAGATTGTGCTGGAAAGTATGCTAAGACACATGAAAAATAAGGAAGTGATTGGTGGCAACCAGCGTGGTTTCACAAGGGGCAAATCATGCCTGACAAAGGTGGTGGCTTTTTACAGGGTCAGAGGACAAGGGAAGAGCAAGTGATGTAATTTACTTGGGCTTGTGCAAAACGTTGACACTGTCCTGCACAACATCCTGGTTTCTAAATTGGAAAGATACAGATTTGGTGGATGGAACACTCAGTGGATAAGAAATTGGCTGGATGGTCACATGCAAAGAGCAGTGGTCAACAGCTTCATGTCCAAGCAGAGATCAGTGACAAGTGGTGTTCCCCAAGGGTCTGTGCTGGGATTGGGGCTGTTTAACATCTTTGTCAATGACATGGGCAGTGGTGATAAGTGCACCCTCAGCAAGCTTGCCAAAGACACCAAGCTGTGTGATGTGGTTGACATATTGGAGGGAAGGGATACCATCCAGAGAGACCTGGATAGGCTGGAGAGGTGGGCCTATGTCAACCATGCTCATAAAGTTCAATAAAGCCAAATTTTTCTCTTTGTTATATATTTTTTGTCAGAAGCTAGTAGGCGTACATTAGACTGAAGTCTAATGGGAAGATGTATTTTGAAGTGCACATCTATGAAAAATTATTGTTGTGCCAGTATTTACTGTACCAGAGAGTTTGCCTCACATCAGCTACTTACAGAGAAATTGCAATTATACAGTGATAGGTTATAACAATAGCGCCTCATTAGTCTAAAATACCTCTGTGCATGTTCTAATGAGGAGCTTAAAACATTGTACAAACAGCACCTAATGAAGTTAATGCCACCCTTGAGAGTTGAATATCAGTGGACCTGTTTTTACAATTACATTAAGTGAAACTTGAAGATGTGAGGGTATTTGGGGAGGGTTAAGGAACTCTGCTGATTTTGATCTAGTGTCTGTTACCAATTAATGCTGAGTGTTTGAAAAGCCTATTCAACCTGCTCAAGTCATTCGGGTAAGTGAGGTAGGAAGACCCTTCAGAATTTCAGTTCTTCTGTTTGACCAGCAGTACAGAACTGTGTCTGTGGGGTCCCTAGTACTTCAAATTAATTACATAAAGTTATTGTTTGTTTCAATTTGCAGTATGTAGCATTGCTTAAAGGAACTGAACCGGGGTAGATTTGATCTCTTTCTCTCTGCATGGGTTCCTCGGAACATGAAACTAGACACAATAAGTTTAAACTTTTTAACAACTGGCTTTAAATTCCTAACATTATCTCTAAGTACAATAAATACTATGTATTGATTTGCTTTCTGAGTGTTCTAATCTGGCATTGAATTACTTGTGTTAAGGAAGACCAGAAAATACCACAAATACAGGTTTTTTTGTTCACTGGCTTTTAACATTTTTGTCACTTTTGTAACTCAAAATATTGAATTAAACCTCTGGAGTCATACACAGGATGGGCTTTGGCTTATAATCAGAAAAATTGCTTAGTTAAAAAAGTTAATTTAGTTTAAAATTTTAAAATTTAAAATACAGTTTAAAATTTGATGCCTGTGTCCTTAAAAATGCTATCAAAACTGAACTGTTTTGTACTATGTTTTTGAGGTATGATAGTAACTTTGCAGGTATAATAGCAGTTTTTTTCAGCACTTTGTTTTTTGTATATTGTTACTCAGGTAAGCCATGGATCCACTCTTTGCCTAACATCTGTTCAGCCTCACTTTTGGGGTCAGCCTTGTTTCTGAGCTTTCCCTTATAAGGTGGGAAAGGTAGATTGTCTTGCGATTCTTCACTGACCATCTGCAATTGCTGTCTTGAATTCTTCTCCTCTAACTTTATTTCGCCTTCAGCAATAAGACACTTATTTTCTAAAATCTGTTGAAACTGCTAATGATGAAATCTCCACTGTTTTTTTATTATGACTTTTGTATTTTCTGATGCAGTCTGCTGTGCTTTATTGGCTTTGTACTTTCCATGCTTTTTTCCTTCCCCCCTTCAGTAAAATTTTCCTATGACTCATCTTATGTATAACCTTGTGTATAACTTCTGTAACTCTTCCCTTCCATCCCCTTTTGTTTTTCCTTTCTTGTGTGTGTGTAACTTCCTTTTGGCAGGAGAAAATTATCACCTTTTGTGGTTCAACTGCCATTTCCACACTAAATTTTTCTGAAAATACTTTTTTGTTTTTCTGTTCCTTCCTGGTATGCCCTCAAGGGGTATGGAAGGGCATACTCTGTTACTCTGAAATGAAGACAAAAAGGAATAGGTCATTTGGAAAAAATAGCCTTTCTCTTTGTGGGCAGTGAACTTGTGACATTTATTGGTGTATAAACTGGAAAACATTTAGGAAACAAAAGGTCAGATTCTGTTCCCTACAATCTAAATTCTTTTTTCTACCTACAATGTAAATTATACTTTCTGGGTAAATTATTTTCAAACATATTGACTGTTTTTTTTAATTAATAGATTAAGGAGACTCTCCCATGGTATAATTTAGTATACGGTTGAATACTGTACATTATCACTAGATCAGTCTGGGCCTTGAATTGTTTTAGAGAACAACAGTTTAAAAAGACACAACACCAATTTAAGCTTGCAACAGTAGGGTAAAATTTAATTTTCTGATCTAATGTTGTCTCAAGAAAAAGATACTGTGGAGGTGGTATAGCTAATGTGGGTGGCAAGGAGAAAGCTGATAAAATACTATTCTGAAGCTTTATCCTGCTTTTGTCTTATTTATCTTTTTTCTTGTTTGTTTTTTGTTTAGTTCCAGTCCAAATGTACCAAATACACAGGAGAACAGCACCTGGCTGTGAGTCCTGGCAATGTGGTGGCCTGTGCTGAGAGTGTCTGCTTTCCTTTTCTTGTGGAGCCAGAGTCAAGGACCACATACCTGCAGCTCTCCTAGTGCTGCAGCTACCAGTTTGTCTGCTTGGGATGGTGACTCATACAAATTATAAACTGCTGGTCCTGCAGTCAGTTTTGGAAACAGTGCTACAAACATTTAGTGTCTGAATTTTCTACAGCTTGGGGTGAGTTCAGGATATTTAATAATCCATCTATTTGTTTGTTCTGAAAACTATTTTAATAACATTTCAGTTAAAGAGCATCCTTTACAAGTATTCCCTATGTGAGAATGCTCTTGATTGTTTCTGCAGTGGTCTTACTAATAGTTAACACGGCTTTTCAAGCAGTAGTCTTTATTCCAAATAAAACTTTTTTCAACTGTAATCTTTCTGGCTCTCATAAAATGATGCTTAAATGTAGTTTATTTTTCTGAGAATAGAAGTTAAAGGGGTTGAGCCAAGAAGGATGAAAGAAATGAGAAGGCTGAGATATGAAAGTAGCCAGATGTCAAAACACATGGTTGCTAATTTATTTGTGAGTTATTTGCTAGTTTTAATGCAAAATGACAGAACATAAGAAATTACAAGTTAAAGGAAGTAATACGTATTTTCTCTATGGAAGAAGTATCTTATTATGTTGCATTTTACTCAATGTTGTCTACATTCTGTGGCAATATTGCGTTTTCTACATCTGAGATTACTGGATAACAGTAGAATGTGTCAGTACAAGTGAGTACTAGTGAGATCCTTCTAAATCAGCAGTAGTTAATTTGTGATATGGATGCTTGTGGTTGTTAATTATAAGGGAAGCTATAAAAGTTTTGGTGAATAGTTCATAGATTGCATGGTGGTTCTGGTCAATAGCAACTAACCTCTGTGAATTAATAGCTTGAGTGTTAAAAAAAAAAGGGAAGGGAGACATGTGGGCAACTATATAGTTTTCAGGTGGCTATTAGCTGCAGAACCACCGAGTCGGTTGTCTGCTTTAGCTTCATCAGCTTGCAGGATTTAGTTGTCATGTGTTGTTTTTTTTTTAGTCTCCAGAGCCTTTTTCCTTGATTTTGACCCAAATCTTGCTCATGCTAAAGAAGACCTGAATCTGCTGCTATGTCATGATGCTTTCAGAGGAAACACCCCTATTAAATATCTCAACCAGGAAAGGAGGCTTGTGTGATCCGTTAAGCACCTGGAGTCCAGGAAAATCCATCCAAGTGTGTCTCTGTTTGAATGAGAACAAGGTATATAGACACCAACCAGTTGATATATGAAACAGTTTAATAATTGACAATCTATTTTACAACTGTTGTACAGCTTAACTAATGGGAGAGGGATGTCTGTGTTGCTCAAGAAGAGGGACACTGTGAAACTGCAGCAGTAACAGAAGCACCAAGTACCTGGTGTGTCCACTTCAGCTACTCTGTGGTGCAGTGGGGTCCCAGCACAGCACCTGCAGCAGCAGGGTTGGGGCTGCAGGTGCAAGTCAGACAGTGAGGGGCTGAAGGGGTTGCGGAATCTGGTGGCCCTAGCATGGCCAGAGCAGTGACTGCTCCCAAGTGGACAACTGTGGGAAACAAAGGGTGCCAGAAGAAGTAAAAGGAAGGGGGTGTGAGGCTTTACCGCAGCAGCTGCCCCCACAGGCTGCCCATCTGCACGTCTTGAGGGGCAGCTTTTCTTCAAAGGCAGTCCTTGTGAAAATGGAGCTGGTGCTCTCCTCTTGAGGCCAGGTCTTGGCTTGCACCTCTCGAGCAGGTGGGGATCATCTCTCTTGAAGTTGGGGTGGTAGTAGAAGAGTAACTGGAACATGAAAATGAAGAATAATTAGTTGACAGTCTTTGGAGATGGGAAAACACCAAGACAGGAGAGCTGAGCCTCGTAATGGCACAAGAGCAACATAGGACCTCAAAAGGTGTGTTGGGCGTTTGAGGCCTAAAGCTGAGGCTAACCAGAAGGTTCTGCTTCTGGAATGTGTTACTGGAATGGGGTGCCAGAATCCCTCAAGTGGCTTCATGGGCATGGGAAGTGATGTACCTTGCTGGGAGCAGAAGGTGCTGCTACTTCTTCTGCCAGAAGTTCATCAAGAGAGTCAGATGTTTCGGAGTCACGTTCCACTTTGGTGAATCTGTAGAGGTGGAGCTGACGAAGGAAGCCTTCCATGCTGTCAGTTTCAAAAACTCCCCATGCCAGCGCTTCCTTTTGGAAGGCCTCTTCATTGATGGCAACACAGATGCCATCATCAACCCACCAGATGGACTGAAACTGGTGGCTCTGGAGAATTCTCCAGAGCTTCTTCGGAAAGGCGAGAGATGCAGAGTCCTCAGCTTTGCTGGAGGTCTCGTTTGAAGCAATGTAACAAATTCTTCTGTTGCTGTGGGCCGTGCTGCATGCTTGGCAATGCATTTTGTCCTTGAGGGATGGTAGATCAGCATCCCAAGGTGCTCTTTTGTCCCATCCCAGAGGGGCAGGAGAGGCTGAGTCAGCGAACTCCATGAGCTCGTCCTGAGCAGAAGCAGATGACAGTTCTCCAGGGGACAGCTCCCTTTCCCACTCTCTTGTCAGGGTTAGACCCAAGTGGATCCTAGCTGTAGGTGTTTCCCTGGACAGATAGGCTTGGTCCTTCCAGACAGGAAGTGCCAACAAACTGGCAGAGGAAGTTCTCAGCTGTTACCAGGAGACTTGTGCTGTGTGGCTGTGACATCACAGCAGCTGCTGGATAGTAGTTGTTGCTTGTTGTTTCCAGATGCTTGCTGCAGGTGTTTGGATTCAAGAGTTGAGCAGTAAATGCAGCTGTCTGGAGGTGTTGCAGGCAGTGCCAGGGCAGTGCAGTGTCCCATTGGCTGGGGGAGCTGGCAGCCAGGGAGGAAGACAGAAAGCTGCATCCAAGTGTCCCATTGTGCAGGCTGGGCACCTCTGCCACCTGCAGAAATGCACTTGCCCTCTTTGCTGTAGTGGAGGCTTTGGAGCTCCCGCTTCAGAGCCTGTTTGACCAAGAGTTGGGGGGATGAACAAGGTTGGGGGTGCAGCCAGTGCCCAGCCTGCTAGGTTGGTGGGGTGTGTCCTTCTCTGGACTTTGCTTGGCCTTGGCCATGTGGTGTCCTGATCAGCTGCCTTCTGGCCTCCTGTATTTCTCTCCAGTGGCCTGTGGAAATGCTTTTTCCAAGCACCGATGCCATCAGTGGTTGTTGCATGAGGCACTTCAGCCCAGTGTTAGGGACCTAGGACCATCTCACAGCCCAGCTCAGTTGCCCAGAGTTGACTCCTGAGCACTTCTGTTCCAGAATGTCTACAAGACAGCATGAGGCTGCTTGTCTCTCATCAGTAAGGGAAACTTCACTCCCATACAGGAAGTC